CGCTCGTAAAACATTTTATAAAGCAACAACTGAAAACATCTCTAAGACAGAATTTATTTTATTTACTAAGGTTCTAAACCAGTTTACTGAAACAAAGTATTTCATGCAAATTACTACTTTTGTTACTATTCTTCTTTCACACAGAATTTAGTCAAATCTTTCCTTTCCTTTTAACCCCACTGTTGAATCCAGATCTCCAAACAGCTCAATCCATACATTCTTATAGCTTCCTCAATGTCTGTCCCCATACAGTATTCTTCTTCTCCTTCTTTGCATTCACCAGCTGTAAACTCTGGCAGAAAGTTTCTAGTTGTTCATCCCCTTCTGGACTGCAGTCTTGTTCCATAACCTGAGTGTTGCATGTGCATCCGTTTTACAGATCTGACTTATTTGTATGCAGACTGCTGGTTCCTTGGCTCTCAGGCAAATGCACTCTGGCTTCGAAGGAAGCTCCCAATTAGTCAACTCGTACGACATGTTTTTGGGTAGGCAGTGGGTCTATTCTTGTTTTCCTATAACAGGCCCCTGGAACCCACTCATTTTTCTTCTCTTCCTCCATTCAGTTCACTGACAGAGAGGAGGGATGTCAGGATTTTTTGTGTGCACTTTCTAAAGTTGAATAAGCTGATCTTTTGCCTGTCTCCAACTTACTTTGTGTTCATTGCATTTTTCAGCATGGCTCTCTCTCTCTGTGGCAGTTAATACCAGTGCATTCTCTTCAGGTGGCCACAACATCTCATCTATTGTTCTTTAATGAACTGTGTGATTTTTTTTTCAGTCCTAGTCTTATAACTTTTTCTTTTTTATTATTATTATTACATACTATGCATTGTGTCTCTAATTTTCTTGTCCTTCTGATTCTAAGCCTACATTTTCTTTGCTGTGTTGGTTCCAGAGAAAGGATTTACTAACCATGCTACCTCATAGAAATTTTAACAACAAAATCCAATAAATCTAAAATGTGTCTAAAGAAAAGGAAATGATTAAGTCCAATCTTTTAGTGAAACAACATGCTGTTTTATTTTAAATTGTATTTTATAAGACTGCTAACAGCTGAGAATTATAACAAGAAAGTAATTAAACTGGTAATAAGCTGAGTTTTAATTTTTTTTTTTTTTTATTAAAGCCAAAATTTTAATGAAAACCACATGGGTTTGAATTAATTAATGAATCAAATATAGTCCAGTGAACTTTGCAGTTTTTTTTTTCTGTTTGTTACCGAAACAACTTCTTCTGCGTTCATCAGAAGATGTCAATAGGTTGTGCCTATTTACAGTTCATCAGAAGATGTCAATAGGTTGTGCCTATTTACAGTTCATCAGAAGATGTCAATAGGTTGTGCCTATTTACAGTTCATCAGAAGATGTCAATAGGTTGTGCCTATTTACAGTTCATCAGAAGATGTCAATAGGTTGTGCCTATTTACAGTTCATCCGAAGATGTCAATAGGTTGTGCCTATTTACAGCTTGGCTGTGTTTTCTGCACCCTCCAGCCGAAACCCCTACTTCTGCAGGCATTTGTTGACCAGGTTAGCCTTGCTGGTAACTACTGAAACTATAACCCATTGTAATATTTCTACTTCCTAAATATATTCTGTGTACTCTAATTTAGGTCATAAAAATAGAAGCCTTTGGTACAATTTTTATACACGCAGACATGTGTAGAGAAGAAGGATACAAGATAGTCAGGAATACAGAAAATATTGATTCTTCTGTTTTGTGTAGGTTGTTCCCCTTCCTTTAAGCTTTAATCACAGTCCACTGGATTAATTTCAAAAGTATCATAAGTAAGTTCTGAGAGTTACCAAACATTTTCAGGCAAATGACATCAAATTTTACAGTTTAATAAAGAATAGCCGGCTACTTCAGCAGTCAGCACTCCTGCCTTCCAGCCTACTGGTCAGCTTGTCACAACCCCCTTCAATGTGAGGATATTTTCATTAACCTAGGATAGCACAACCTAAATCAGGTACCAGAAATTTATGAGCAAAGAAAAAGCAGCCATCGTGATACTAAATACCCCACCCATTGAACAGCAAATGGTCTAAAAGAATATAAAAAAGCATCATATATCCAAAGTGATGACACAAATAGGGGTTGACTACAGTCAAGCTGAAGGCAAGAAGTTATGTTAATTACACACACACATAGAAAAAGAGCAAAGGACCCTTTCCCACGCCTTCAGGCATATAGGGCAAGACCTATATTTTATAGACCAATCAGCAGTGAGTGGGTGAGGTGGTCAGCATCACACCGGCCGTCTTTACTTCCCAGGACTGTACCTGGCACCCACTCAAGGCTGGGTCCACCTGGAAGCCAAGGCCATTTTTAAAAAAGTTCAACTCTGTCAGGACCCAAATCCATGACCTCCCAATCCACAGGTGAGCATCTAGCCGCTACACCACGGTGGCTCCCATTATGTTATTTAGCACATCATATATCTTCTATGTCTGAAGGCATGAAATGGGATCAATTGTTTTATTTACTGGTCACCAGGTGCAGTGACCAGGACATCTCAACACCCAAAGTACAATGAGGCATATACACAACCAGATGTTATTGGTGCCATTGGAATTTGAAATCTGCTCTTGCAACTGAGAACAGGGACAGACTGTTTAGGGGTGTCTTTGGAATTTTCAGCTAAAAACAAAAAAGATATTAAATATCTTCTGGATAACTGGATTAGAACCTCTTTGAAATTAAACACAATGTGTACATGAGAAAATAATTGCATCTGTAAATGAGAAATGTATAAATATAAACATATGCACATGTTGCATATATACAGAGTAAAGCACAAAAGATAACTTCATTTGCAAAGCTTAAGAAAAAGCTTTTGCTAGCACCACTATCTGTTTGTCTCTTAAATGTGAATATTGACATATGAAGGTCAAACTGCCATACACCGTTTCAATGACTCAAATATGAGATTGAAAAACAAAAACACATGGGGATACAAGAATAAATCTTACAGTTTGCAATAAATTATAACTAAATACTGCATTCTAAGATAAGCTGTTTATTCAGCTTAATACAAAACAAAACACAAAAGTGTAAACAGTATGTTATACAAAGGCAGAATCATGAGATTGTTTACCCCACTGCAGTTTTCAGTTTTTTTTTTTTTTTTGTTTTAGCTGTATTTCAAAATTCAGATCTATCAAGTTTTTTTTTAAAATACCCATTTCCCCCCCCCCCCCCTCTTCCTTTTCAGGGCCATCTTAACCGCATTATGGGACCCCGGGCAAAGTAATTTGCTGAGGCCCCTATGGCTACCACTCACAGGAATCAAATGTATACGGTTGATAATATTAAATGTATATTTATTTACTGCATGTCTCAACAAAATTGTTGTTAACGCATAAACAAAGATTAGACGGCACAGCATGAAATTACTTCAAACTTTTTATACTGTAAGTGGCTTGACATTCACAGATCAGTTTGAGGCCCCTAAGTTCATGGTGCCCCCGGGCAGGTGTTCAGCGGGCACCTGCGTTATGACAGCCCTGCCCCCCCCCCCCCCCCTTCTCCAAGAGTGCACTCTGTAGGACCAACATCTCAAGGATGAGAACCAAACAGGTACAAATTCCAGAAGCCCCATTTCAACCACAATCACATAACATAGTTATACTAGGGCACCTGACAGTTCAGAGGAAACCCGCTATTTAACATTTGTAAGATACTTATAACTGTGTCAAGAGTTATGATAACCACATTTAAGCTTCTGCTCTCTAGCTGAATGAAATTAATTAAATTTTTGAAAGAAAAACAGAAAACACACACACACCTCTCTTTATCTCTATTAAAAAGAAGCAACTATGGCACTCTCGTACACTAGAGTTACATACAGTGCACCTCTATAAATAGTCTGATAATGGCTGAACATGGTTACATGGTGATACAAAAGTAAACACAACAACAATAGTTAAGATACACAACACCAAGCAAATATGCTGCTAGGTTTACATGAAAAATATCACTTCAAATGTGGAAAATACAAGGGTATTCCAGTCAACCACCTTCATCAGTTTGTTCTGACACAGATTAGAAAAACTACAGCTTTCTCTCGTCAGAGCCTTAACTGTTCAAGAATGGATGGAGATTCTGTCAAGGCTTCACTGTAAAGTCGTTATTTTATGTATTCTTTTACGTAATTATTCAGCATTTAAAAAAAATTAAAACAGTGCACAGGCGATTTTTCTATCAGTCTAATTCAGAAAAAAAAAAAAAAAAACAAGACTAAAATGTAACTTAACTAACAACTATAAATTAAAAAACATGGTGGTTTAACTATATTTTTGTGTCAAAAATTATTTTTTTTAATGTTGATTTAAAAAAAAACATAGTTGTAAAGGAAATGAAAGTACTTTCTTTTGTTTGCTGATCAGAAAAAAAGCACTGTAAAATGACACTATGTCTCAAAATGATTTGTTTCGGGATGTCTTCAGAATTGTTGTTTTTCAAAATATACTTTAAAAAAACATCACAGAAGGTGAATGTGAATATATGTGCAATTAATTAAAGTAAGGCACTTGTGTAACAGAATAATAATCACACAGACACAACATGCTGGCTCCAGCAGCACCAAACATTACATGCAACACTGGAGACCAACTACAGGCCTTCAGTTTTTTACCTAATATTTTATTTAACATATGTGACAAGCACAATGTAAACTTTTATCAACACTGTTTATCAAAGTCCTCACATAGGGTCAGCACTTTATGCTGTTTATTAACTCTTTTGAGTCCCAGGGGGTTTAGCATCACAGGCCCAGGGGGTAGTAAAGAAAGTAATAAAATCGGCGCATCATGTGTTCATTGAGCTTCTAGGTAGGACCCAATGAGTTAATGTCTTAAAATAATTCTAAAAGTATGTTTATAGTTTTCCTTCAGCCTGTCCTTTCTATTCGTAATCTATGTTGTATTCATTTGGTCATCCTATTTTTGACACCTGCTTTTCAACAACAAAATATGTTTCCTAAATTCTAGGATAATAATTTAAATGGAGAAGAGATGAAACACTGTCAACAGTATTGCCATAACTGTGATGGATGTAGAAAAACCAACAGTGGAGACTCCACTTCTCATCTCCAGCAAGCCACAATCTTGAAACTGGCTGTCACAATTCAGCACCGTCCTGGGAGAAAAAAAAAAGTGTTAAAGAAACATTCACTACATTTTTAAAAAATATACTGCTCCAGCTAATAAAACAGTCAAGTAAAGGACCTTTTCCATGCCTGTAGAGTATGGGATCATTTCAGGACGGCCACCTTTACTTCCCAGGACTTTACCTGGGACCCATTTTAGGCTGGGTTGAACTGGAAGAGACAGCTATTTCTAAAGAAAGAATCTGACACAATTTGGATTCTAACTTAAGACCTTGAGCTGGTGGGTTGCCATCTAGCTGCTATAAAACTGCAGTTCTATATAAAACAAACAAACATACAAGATAAAATCCGAAATGACGTCATAAGAGAACAGGTCTGCACAGAACCAATACTAAACTAAAAGACTCCTTTCCCTCCCCCCACCCCCCACAGTTTGCCTGCTTTTACAGAATCACTTGTGATTTTATAACCTAAAAGCGAATACCAAAATAGGAGAAGTACATAAAGCTTCTTCTTCTACATTCCCGCTCAACCCACTGTCTACCACAATCGTACGTTATGCGATCCGCCGATGTTTAGGCCTGGCGACCACAATCGTACGTTATGCGATCCGCCGATGTTTATGCCTGGCTACCACAATAGTACGTTATGCGATCCGCCGATGTTTATGCCTGGCTACCACAATAATACGTTATGCGATCCGCCGATGTTTATGCCTGGCTACCACAATCGTACGTTATGCGATCCGCCGATGTTTAGGCCTGGCTACCACAATCGTACGTTATGCGATCCGCCGATGTTTATGCCTGGCTACCACAATCGTACGTTATGCGATCCGCCGATGTTTATGCCTGGCTACCACAATCGTACGTTATGCGATCCGCCGATGTTTAGGCCTGGCTACCACAATCGTACGTTATGTGATCCGCCGATGTTTATGCCTGGCTACCACAATCGTAAGTTATGTGATCTGCCGATGTTTATGCCTGGCTACCACAATCGTACGTTATGTGATCCGCCGATGTTTATGCCAGGCTACCACAATCGTACGTTATGCGATCCGCTGATGTTTATGCCTGGCCATCACGATCAAACCCCTCTATGATCGTAACTTTGGATGCTCACTGCCATGTTAAAATTGTGAGTTTTGCAATAACTGTAGTTGACACTGTTATTCCATTCATTTCTCTATGGTTATTGCATGGAAACAATTCAGCAGTGCTGAATATACATTTTCAAAGATTTTTTTTTTTGGTGAGCTACCATGTTGATGGCACATAAACAAACATTTTGATAATGGCGGCAATCATTAGGGCCAGCACGGTGAAAGAGTTTGTAAATATTCCTGATGGTATGGGATATTGTCTTCATTGTTTTAAAAAATTGTTGCCAGAACGTTGACCCAAACATTGGAGTCAGGTGGTCTATTCCCCGCTACACTAGGTGCGTACCGACCAGGAAGAGATTCATGGTGCAATGCTGCAGTATTTGCCTACGACACATATGAGGGTTTCCAGGAGGGAATGGAAACGGCTGCAGCCGCTATTGACTTAGAAGATGCGTACAACAGTGTCCCATACAGCATGCTCATCAGACTGCTGTTGGATATGCAGATAGAAACAAAATTCGTCAACAGGATCGCAGCAGCGCTATTTGAAAGAACAGTGTCGCTTCGATGTGGTGAATGGGCATCCGAACCTCAACGCGTCCTAATGGGTCTGCCCCAGGGATCACCATTGTCGCCTGTGCTCTTCAATGTGTACACAGCAGGAGTCATGAGTGCACAAAGCGTAGGCCTGGGCATAACAATGTCATATGCAGATGATATTCTTGTTTACCGTCGAGGTAAAAACAGGCAGGAAATTACAACCACACTACAACACGAACTAGACAGACTTAGTGAGTGGTGCCAGGAATCAAGAGCTCAGGTGAACCCGTCCAAAGCCTCCTTAACATGGTTCTCTCTGAATACCCACATCGTAAGTACACCAACACCAGTCGTAAGCATCTGTGATGTGGACATTGAGAGAACGGACACCATGACATATCTGGGCATGACATTTGATAGATGCCTGTCATACAAATGCCACGTAGACAACGTCATACTTAGAGCCAGGAAAGGTTTGACAACACTCAAGGTGCTAGAAGCAGCTGATATTGAACAACGCCTACTTTTCCTTCTCTATCAAGGGCTTGTGCTTAGCGTCATTGACTATGCTCTTGCCCTCCTCACTGTCAGCAAAACCCAGCTAGAAAGCCTGGACCGAGTACAAAATGAGGCCATGAGACTCATACTCGGCTGCACAAAAGACACCTCCTGCAACGACGTGCGTTATGTCCTGGGTTTGCCGACGACAACTAGCAGATACAAAGTGGCACAGGTCATGAGGGTATCGGCAGACGTTAACCACCCATTGCACAAAGCTTTACACGACACAAAAGGAACGCCTCTTGGATGGCAAAGGCTGAGGATTTAATCCAGCAGGTATGTGACCTAGACATGATCAGTCACGGAAAAGAATGAACGAATACACCAGTAGACATGCATGGCATCTCTAAGGTTGTCATCACACTCGGAAGGTACTGCAGGGATCAAATTCCTGCGGCCGTAGACACAGAAGTAAGGGAACTGATAGATCAGCATTCAGACCCAGAAGATATCATCATCTACACAGATGGATCCGTGAAGCGCGGATCAAGGTATACACAGCGCAAAGAATGGGGAAAACAATACATGAGGACAGCGGTGCTTACCAGACAACCACGTCAAGCATGACAATGAAAATGCCGCTGCTTCTAGAGCTTTAGGGTGGGTATCCGAGCAAACCGCCACACAGGCAGTAATTGTCTCAGACTCAATTAATATGCTTCAGAAGATAGCAACAGGCAGTATGCGCTCTGAATGGATAGAAAGCATTCGGAAAATTGCACTTAACCTCCGTAACCTGGATCTACACACCGGGTCATGCGGGCGTAAAGGGAAATGAGCGAGCAGACCAACTGGCAAGCACTGCACCAATGATTGCAGGAAAAAGCATGGACAGAGCAGATATCGTCAACGCTGTACGAACTGGGCTAGTGGAGAATGAGGAATCCCTGACACTAACATAAAATAACATCTTGTAGGGAGTCGGCAGTCCGAAACCCAAGTTCAAGGTGTCTCCTTCATGCCAAACAACTGCATGGCTGTTGGGTCAACAGTCGTTAACGAAGGCAGGCAGGTCGTTGTAGGGGTGATGCCTGCTGGTGGATGTAATGTCCTAAGTCCCTTCCCCAGCTAATAATGAATGTACTGCTGGGGTGACTGTTTATTAACCCTCATATAATGCTTCAGGTCAAAATGGACGCTAGACACGGCCACCTTTTTTTTTTCCTGCCAGACGGTGGCCGTTGCATTTTTGCTCTATTTGTAGCCTGGAAGGATATAGTTTTGTCGCCCAGCTTCTGAGTTGAGTGCATGGTGTGACACTGTGAGCTATGTGTGTTTTTTGTTGGCACAGGAGCGGAGCAAGTATGGAGTGACCCGTTTGCTATGAAGCTGAAACTAGGATTACCAGATTACCAGAAATCTGACAATTCATTCATTGCATGATCTTCCGGCCCAAGTGATGTGTTGAAGGGGGCAGACGAAGTGAATGGGGGTTCACAACAAAGGTGAATGGACGTCGCTTAGTGCAGCAAAGCCTCGCAACACAACATCTAGTTCGAAACAGGAGGTGAAGGCAGTCTCTGCTGCCTTCCGCTGGCCTGAGAATCAGCTGTAGACACATGGTGTTATTGTAATTGGCTCACAGAGCATGCTGAGAAAGGTGGAGACTTGTATGCGCCGTGGGGAGTGGCAAGCATCATTTCAGAGGTATGGGTAGCTAGCACCCTTTCAATGTTTTCTCCAGCTTATGCCGGTGTGTGAGGTAACGAACCAGCAAATAGACTGGCTGGCTCTGCAGCACTTAGTGGTGAACTGATGTGTGATAAGCTAGATATTGTGAGGGCCCTTCGGGAACAAGTGAACAGCTTGGAGGCACAGATAGATCATTACGGTCTGAGGAGAATGACGCTGTGAGGAGTTACCACGGGAACAATCCAACGCTCAACACTAAGGGTTATAGGATGAGACGGATATAAAATCAGACGGTTACTGGTGCCAATGGAATTGGAACTCTTTGCTCGCTGCTGAAGATGGGGACAGAGCATTTATGAAAGTGTCCCGAGTGCTGTGATGTCGATTCTTAGTTCAACATTCAAATTGGAAAGTGAAGGTGAAGATATTTCTGAACAGTTTCATGACTGTGGCTTTGATAATTTTTAGGAACTGCCATCAAAAACTCTGTCAAAACTAGAAGACGATGTTTCACTTTCAGTTATGGCATGGCAGTCAGAGGTAGGTCACAGGTGTGTTAAGTTACACTGTATCGGGTAAACTGTTTCATGTAAATGCTTCAGTAGTGTACTGATAAATGCAACTATTAGTGTAGACTGTGTTTAATACAGATGTGTTGCTTATAGTGAAAATCGTTTCACAATACAATCCTCGACGTTTTCCAGGATGTGTTTTCCACTATGCATCTTTTGGAAAAAGACTGGCTTTTTTTAGTTTGATAGTTCAATCATACCGTATCAACCGTTCTTGGTGCAAAAGGCAAACAGTAAATGAATGTGCTTGGGCCGTGGCCTCTTCAAAAACATTTAGGTTATTCATACTGGATAGGATTAAATTACTATCAAATCTACACATACACACACACACAAAAAACACTTACTTGAGATCATACAGTAGGTTGTTAATAGCCTCAACGATATGGCCTTCACTGAACCGTGAACCAACCCGATATGACAGCAAACTTCTGTAATATGGTGTCAACTTGGCCATTGCTGTCCTACCTCCGTAAATAGCCAGCTGGCAATGAATCAGAGAAAAACCACTTACAACACAGTTTACTGAATATCACAATGCAAGTTTAACAAAGATGTTTAAGGGATATCCATAGTTAAGCTGTTTGCCTGGTATTCTTAATGTCATCAGTTCGATTCATGTCTTGTATCTTTCAGTTTTTCTTCTTCTTCTTAGCGTTCACTGACTTAACTTCCGGCAGGGAAGTTCTGGTTGTTTGTCCACTTCTGAACTTTGCCCTTGTTCCAGAACTTGAGTTTTGCATGTACATAACTTTGACAGACCTGGCTTAACTGTATGCAAACTGTCGGTTCCTCACCTCTCAGGCAAATGTATTTCAACTTTAAAGGAAGCTCCTCTAATTAATCGCCTCCTCTGACACACTTGTTAGGGGAGGCGGTGGGTCTATTCTCTTTTCCCCCAAAATGGGATCCCGGAACCCATAAAGGGATTCAGAAAGTTAACATAAATAAGATGAAAAATATATCAGAATAGTATCAAATATAACAGAATGATCATGTTAACATAATTTGTATACAATTAAATTTAACATAAACACATTCATAAATTAAATACTTATGTAAGTTGAGAGTAAAAGTTTAAGGAGACTGTTTAATATAGCTACCAATAGGAAAGGCCTGAAAACCATTAATTCACAAACATAAATTATTTTTCATATCAAGACAAAATATCTTTATGACCTAGCTTCCTCAGTTTATCTGTCTTCCATCTCTGTGACTGTTTTGTGATTTTGTTTTGCCCGCTTTATCTCAAAATGTGCCCAATACACCACCATTAGAAAAAACAGACAGAGATAACTAAATAACTCAGCTATGTGTCACAACTGGGCCAAGAACACATATCTCATCCATGACTGATAATAACATTTTCCACTGTGAATGCAGTTACCTTTATCTTTTTCCCAAGGGATCCAGGTGGTGTTGGTAATAACAGAGCTGACAGACCGGTTCTGCCTTAGTTGCCCATGGATTTGGCTAACATTGTTAATGCCCTTAGACTTTGAGAATAGCGTGTCCACATCACTGTTAACAACACGACAACTGGGATTACAAATCAGCACAGCCAAGTATGTGGGGAACTATAGACGTACAAAATGTCTTTTTACCAGCACAGGACTGGCAAGATTAACCATGGGACGCTGATGTATATGGTAAAGAGGCAGTCTGAGAACCTTTGCGTCCAGGAGAGCTGTGAAGATAACCCAGCTAACTCATAACACCTGGTAAATCAGGACAGCTCTTGATGCTTAAATGAGGAACTTCAATACCTCAAGATGTATGCATTAAATAACCTTCTTAATGTCACTGCTTTTACATAAGCAATCACAATACTATCATTACAACTGACATACACAGAAAGGAATGGGTGATATATAAAGAGATACTTCGGTCAACAATGTTCAACATACCACTCTATCATCATATGAGTAAAAGATGATGATATTCTCTTCACAGCGACCCATCTTCCATTTATCCTTCAGCGTGTTAGCGAACAACTGGCCTTGATCTTCCAGAGAGTTCCTTCTGCCACCCAAGCTTCAAGGAGAAAGTCACATAAAATTCTATGATAAAACATGTACATATATTTGAACAGCAACAATCTTTGTTATGAATAACCTAAATGTTAGCTTCTTCTTTTGCCTTTCAAATGCCAATAGTGTATAGACTTTAAACTAACTCATGTTTATGACTGACTGGGTTATTCAGTGAAAGTCCCTTAAGGAATGAGGTAGTAAATCACATGCTAACCCTTCTTAGTTGCCTATTACGTTTTGCATGGTAGGTTCCAGTGGTACTAATCTTAGCTTCCTTCAAAGGGCCTAAGCAGCACATTGGTGATTATGCTGTAACAATTATTTCTTTGAACAAAGAAGACACAAACAACAGATTGCACAATTTACTCCCTGGCAGCATATATCTTGTCAGGTGAATATTACAGCAATAATTAAACAGAATGAAGGAAATAAGTGAATCCTTTACAACTAAAGTGAAAATGCAACCACTCTAAAAATAAAATTAAATATGCCAATTTTACCATGACAAACATAGGGTCTACATCGAGTCTTTCTTTTACACAAAGATGAACATTCTAGACGAAGGTAACGAAGGGTGGCAGCTTCAAGAAATCTTAGTGCTCCTCCATTGAATAACATTTGAAGAATTTGAAATGTGCTTGTTTTCAGCATGTTCCAGATTTCAAAAGGTGTCGCACAACTGAGGAAGGGTGGTCTTATTTGTTTATGATCAGAAACACACACAAGCAAAAGAAAGGTGCTCTGTAAGCACACAGGCAAAGACAGGTGCTCTGTAAGCACACAGGCAAAGACAGGTGCTCTGTAAGCACACAGGCAAAGACAGGTGCTCTGTAAGCACACAAGCAAAAGAAAGGTGCTCTGTAAGCACACAGGCAAAAGACAGGTGCTCTGTAAGCAAACAGGCAAAGACAGGTGCTCTGTAAGCACACAGGCAAAAGACAGGTGCTCTGTAAGCACACAGGCAAAGACAGGTGCTCTGTAAGCACACAGGAAAAAGACAGGTGTACTTCTAATCAGGTGCAACTGGCACCATCAGTATGAGAAAAGAAGAAAAGAACACAGCATAAGTGGTAGTGTCCTGACTCCAGTACTTCTTGATTATTCATTCAATCAATCATTATTCACTTTTATTACTTTTTGACTTACTTGGTCTGAATCTTCATTTTCTTCACTAAAGCCACCCCAATGTGATATCCCAAAGGTCTGGGGTATGTCTCGCAGTAGTAATTGCTGCAGGGACATCTGGTGCTGTTGTAGGCTGCATCCCTTAGGATCCAGTTAATGCTGTGAACTTTATACAGAAGAAACAACAATATCAGTGTCAAGTCATTACCATATACCAGAAGTTTCAATGCAGGATGTTTTACAATGTAAAGAAAAGAACTGAAGTCATTATTTTGAACTGTGGCTATCTGACAATACAGAATGTTCCATAACTGGAAAACTATGAAGTCATGTATTCTGTATTTGTCTGATGTCATAATGTTCCAGACCTAGAAAGAAATCATTGTTTCATACTATGACTGACAACGTTGTATGTTTCGTATTATAGCTTGCAAAAATCCATAATTTGAAAAAGCATGACATTAATTTATTCTTTTTTCAAATCATGTTTCTTCAGTGTGGAAAATAATGAATCTCCTTCTTCTCTTCGTTCGCCGGCTGTAAGCTCCAGCGGAAACTCCTGGTTGTTCATTCATTTGGGCTTTGGCTTTGTGCCTGGACCTCAGTTTGCGTGTACATCCGTGTTACTGGCTTATTTGTGTGCAGTTGGTTCTTCCTTGCCACTCAGGCAGATGCACTCCAACTTAGAAGGAAGTCCCCAATCAGGCGACTCCTACGACATGCCCAAATAAAAACATGCTTCTTCATTGTTGACACTGTAGAACTTTTGCACTGGCTGTTGCCATTGGTAGTCAGTTGTCTCGAGGTGTGGCGTCTGCCTCAAGTGTTGGTGTCCCGGGTTCAAACCCTGGCGAAGGCTGGGATTTTTTTATGTGGACTTCTAGTAATTTCCCCTGGTCTCTGAGTAGTAAGATCGGATGCCTGTGTGTACTGTTGCGCACGTAAAAACTCCCTATGCAGCTGGAAATCGCAAAAAAGTAGCATAACTGGCCGGGCAAAATCTGGAGTTTAAAATCTACCCAAAGTATTTCAGGATCCTCGCCATTTCAATGAAATTCGTGCACTGCGCTGAGATTTTTTACACTCAGACTTAAGTTAGAAGTAGTACGGAGCACTTATGGGTTACACCCGTGTGCCATGATGTTGATCCGTTGAATAAACCAAACGAATAAACCTTATAAATGTTAATTCTGTGAGATGGTTCAACACGTATTTCAACATCACTTACTATGCTCTCCAGTTAAACCATTGGGGTCACATATGTACGAGGCTTCATCAGAATTCAGGCCACATCTTCTAGGCTCCATCTGAGGATTGTACATCTCTTCAGGAAACCACTCAATCTTTGAAGATTGACTAGAAACCAAAGCTGGAGCAAGGAGCATCACGGCTACAGCAATAAAGGGCACCATTGTGTCGGAAGAATCTAAAAATGGAAGAAAGCAATATTCACCTAAGAATGAAACCTGAAGTTACAGAAACAACACATAAATCTTAAAAACTAGGGACGCCGGTCTGTAAATTTAAAACCAGGCTGCTGAGGGGGGAACCTAATGAAACCAACAGAAAATTACTATTTAAAAAAAAAAAAAACTAATCTTAGTGATGCAGATATGTCTGTTTATTCTTCAAAACTGTTAATAGGACCGTAAATTACAGTAATGACATTAATGCTGGACAGAGATTACATTCACAACAGTATCTTTTCAAGTCAATGTTGACTACAAGCCCAGGACAACAAATAATATTTCCTACTCACATTTACAATAAATAACTCTTCATTTTACTTGTATTTACAACAAATAAACCAGAACGTAACTTCAATAAACTAGCTCACAACTCTCTCCTTACACAAATACACACCATGGGTTGGGGGGGGGGGGGAGAAAAACTGAGGATATCTTCTTCTTCTGCGTTCATCCAAAGATGTAATTGCGCTGTGTCTGTTTACAGTATGGCTGCGATACTTGCACATTTCACCCAACACATCCGACTTCTGCGGGCATTTGCTGACCGGGTTAGCCTTCCCGGTGCTGAGAATATGATCTGAACATGAAAAGAAGCTAGTCTGAAAATGCAGCAATATTTACTGAAGATTTAAACACCTCAGCCAAAGTAAATGTACTGATTTAAACACTATATAAAGAAAAGCATGGTACCTGGAGTACCTGGAAGAAAACGGAGGAAACAATCAGAACAGAAGTATAACATATTTCACATACCTCGAACATGCAAATACATGAGGCAAGGATGCTGAAAGGTACAGTGGCTTTAGGTGGGCCATCATAGCAGTAACTTTTTACAATAGACCTCTAATGCATATATATGCGTGTGTGTGTGTATATATATATATATATATATATATATATATATATATATATATATATATATATATATATATATATATATATATATATATAAAAATATATATATATATATATATATATATATATATATATATATATATATATATATATATATATATATATATATATATATATATATATATATACACACACATATATATATCACCAGTGACACCATTCTGGACTCTACCCTGTTATTTTAATTTAGGGCAGAATCAACAATGTTTACTGTGGTATTAAATCTCCTAATTAGCCTTTTGTAGATTAATAATTCTTTAGAGTAATTTACTACATTATAATTATTTTATTGTTTTCAAACAATAATTTCTAAAGTAACTTACTCATTTGGTAATGCTGTCACTGTTAGAATAATATTTGAAAAAAGGAAGACACAAACAATAGACTGCACAATTTATTGCCTGGCATATTTCGAAGTATCTCGTCAGGTGCATACTACAGTAACAAGTGATAAAAATGAAGCAAATAGCTGAATCCTAGAAACTGAAACACAAATTCGAGTACATTCCACACTGTCTGTTTCACCAAGGTAGCCTTAAGGAAACTACCATTTCTTTCTGCCTACAGAGATCTGGTTTCAACCGGCTGATAGAGGAAGCTTCCGCGTATCGGAGTAATCTACGGTTGGCCGAATTGTAAATAATTCGAAATGCATCATCCCTGTTGATGATGTGCCCGGAATTTAGAATATGGCACGCAATTGCTGATGATGGATTTTGTTGACCAGTCACCTGATTGGTTGTTGCTGAGGTGTTAAGTGTTCTGCATTGCTTTTACCACCCATAGTGGAATATGTTCAGCAATCCGTTATTCCAGTCGTCGATCAGTTCTGCCCACATATGCAGTGTTACAGGTTACAGATCTCTGTAGGCAGAAAGAAATGGTAGTTTCCTTAAGGTTACCTTGGTGAAACAGACAGTGTAGAATGTACTCGAATTTGCGTTTCAGTTTCTAGGATTCAGCTATTTGCTTCATTTTTATTACTTGTTACTGTAGTATACTCCTGACGAGATACAGCGAAATATGCCAGGCAATAAATTGTGCAGTCTTTTGTTTGTGTCTTCTTTGTTCAAATTCACATCGGGGAAACATTGCTTAGAATAATATTTGTCAGATATATTTTAAATGTTTTTTATTTGTGCGTGTGTGTGTGTGTTTGTACAATGTTTCAGCAACTTATTATTTATTAAACAATAATATATGGCTCACCTTTTGCGGCAAGAAACTTTCCAAAACAAACAACAAATTTAAAAAATAAATATCTTTATACGTGACCCATAAAACAGTGACAACAGAACAGTCAGAACTAGGCGAAAATTACTCATAAACTCAGTCAATTAATTGCATTTTTTAATCGAAAAATATGCTGCCCTTTTTTTTTTAACTGTTGTTATAACAATAGAGCCGCTTTCGAATGTTGAATAAACATAATATGCTATTTGAACTGATAATTTAATCAGCACAACATCCCAGACATTACTCTGACAATGATTAGTGTATTTAAAATTTCAGTGTAGTGACCTCACCCCGACTCTTGCAGACGGGATCGGTACAACAGGTACCAGATGAAACTCACCGAACTGCACAATGACAAACAAGCAGGCAAGTACGGTTGACTGCAGTGTAACACTACACCAGTCCTAGGTTAAAACACAATAAACAAAGTGTACTTACCGTGCCCTCCGTGGGGGATACAAGTGGTTGCGAATTATAAGGTGCAGGTACTTTCACAAACACACTCCCAGTTGGTACATTCCATACAAGGTGATGTGTGTGGGTTTACTCAGCCTTCAGCAACCACTCCTGCTACTTCCGGCCTGGGGAGACAACTGCGTAAACTGCTTGCTAACACATCATCATCATTGTAATCGTTTGATGTTGATTTAATAATGTTGAATTAAGACTCAAAATCACAATATTTGGGACCATAAACGTTCCGTTACCATCTTCAGCAGCAAGCGAAAAGTTCAAATGTTTATGGAACCAGTACCTGTCTGGTTGTACATTTTCCTCCAGGCAATGCCAGCGTTGCGGATAATGAATAGACAGAGAGATTGGCTGGATCTGCACCACTAAGTGGTGAACTGATATATGATAAGGTAGATGTGGTCAAGGCCCTTTGGGAACAAGCAACGAAGTCAGAAGAAAAACAAGATTATTATGACCTGGAGAAAATGAGTATATCCAGAGGAACTGGCCGGCTCACTACACTCAATTGAATTCTTAGTTTGATAGATTCGGGACCATAAGCGTTCCGTCACCATCTTCAGCATCAAGCGAAAAGTTCAAATTTTTATGGAACCAGTACCTGTCTGGTTGTACATTTTCTTCAGGCAATGCCAGCGTTGCGGAGAATGAATAGACAGAGAGATTGGCTGGGTCTGCACCACTAAGTGGTGAACTGATATATGATAAGGTAGATGTGGTCAAGACCCTTTGGGAACAAGCAACGAAGTCAGAAAAAAAATCAAGATTATTATGGCCTGGAGAAAATGAGAATATCCAGAGGAACTGGCCGGCTCACTACACTCAGATGAAAGACAAGACGGACATATAACCAGATTATGGCCCGTACCAATAGTATTTGAACTCTGCGCTGGCTGCTGAAGGTGAGGACAGAGCTCGCATGGAAATGCCCCGAGTGCTGGATGTCAGTTCTTAACACATCTCAACTTATATTTTGACTGTTCTAATGTAGCTGCACTGGTTATATATTTAGGAATATATCCATTTGCATGGATCCCTATGTTGTCAGATTACTTTCTTTTTGGAGATTATCATAATTTATGTTGTCTTACAATTGAATTCTTAGTTTGATAGATCATCGTATGCGGTTACTAAGCCCTGCAGATCCTGTTAGCTGTATGCAATCATCATTGTATTACCTGCATATATTATATGGTTGGTGTTATATCCTTCCTTGTAATTTCCATCGTGTCTTTCAGCATCCATATTTTCACCATGTAGGGGAAGAGGACCGGAGCCGTTATACACTGTTATAGTCTTCACTAATCTTAAGGCCTTTGCCACCAGTTTGGAGATGTGCAAACATTTTTATCATATGGCCTATTCTGTCCTGCGCCCTAATGTAATTAATGAAATAAAGAGGCAGATATTTGATTGTAACTGTCGAGTATTGAATTATTCTTTTAATTAAAAACACACAATTTTTTCTGCTGTTTTATTATTTTCATTAGAGCACATCGTGTGTTCTGCTGTATTATAATTCTCATTAAAACACATTCTGTTAAGGAGCACCCGGGGATAGGTCTCGAAAACACCGTTCAACCCATAGGTTGGATTATGTTAGGGCCCGTGACTACAGCCAAGATATGGCTTCAAATAACGAAAAATTGCGCCCTACACGGCCTTATACTTACCGTCCTTTTTAGGATGAATTTTTTCGTTATTTGAAGCCCTACTCTGGCTCTTTCCAGGGGCCGCAATATAGACTGGCCATAAATATGGCCTAAAGGCTGAAGATCCTCACCCACATGGTGGCATATTGTGTCATCGGGTGTTTATCGCTTGTGTGATGTCCTGGTGGGGTAGAAAGTCAGTCAGTCAGTCAGCCCGACATGGCGACGGAATGAATTATATAATTCTAAACGTCATTTGTTCTGCTGTTTTATTATTTTCGAACACATAATTTGTTGTGCTATAATACTATTTTCATTAGAACACATCATTTGTTCTGCTTTTTTATTGTTTAATTATAAAAAATATAATTTGCTTTTTTGTAATATTATTTTCATTACAACACATAATTCTGCTGTATCGTTATTATCATTATAACACATCATTTTGTTTTTCTACTGTATTTTTTTTTTCTTTAAAACATATCATTTGTTCTCTTCTTTTTAACTACTATCACATATTATATTGTCAATGTTTCTATGTGTGTGTGTGTGTGCGCGCGCGCGCGTGTGTGTTTGTGGGTTTTAAAATTTGTGCACGATCCTCCTTGGCAAAATCTGTTTAACACGATTTATGGTTGTTTGTTCGATGTCGATCATATGTGGTAAAGT